TAATAAAAATACAAAATAACATTTGTGACCTTTCACGCGAAAACGTGTTTTAACGACTTTCCGTTTTCGAACGGAATTCCGTTTAGAAGCCGTTTGAAAGCCGTTTGAAAGAAAGACAATTGTTGCTGTATCGGTGTTAGAGAAGGATCGATTTATTATCGAGAGAACTTTGATGGCTTTTTTGCTCAGAATTTATCTTGCATAGGTGTAACGACCAGGTGATGTCATTTCTATACCTAAATATGTTTGTTTCTTAACAATTTGTAAAGTTTCATTCTCATATTTAAAATCTACCTTGTTCTTGGTTTGTCCGTTACCACTGAATATACTGTAATTATGTTGACTTTTTGGTGTTGACTTTGAGCTTCCAATCTTGAGGGTGTTTATGAATTAAATCAAGCGATTGTTGCAACCCTTCTGGAGAAGGGCTGTTTACGAGTAAATCTGCATACATTAAGCAGTTTAGAGATTGATTTCCCAACACCACACCTGGGCATTTGTTCTGTTCAAAATATTGCGGTAAATCATTCATAAATAGAAAAAAATAAAACTGGACTTAAACCATCACCTTGCGTTATCCCCTTGTTACATGAAAGTTGTTGCAATAACTAAATTATAAAAAAAATTGTATCTCAATCTAGTAACTGAATGAGATACTCTAGCATTCAAAGCCTGGGACCAAAAGGAAGGGGAGGGGCAGGATGGTTCGTGTTCTCACAGCAGTGGTGCCCACCCTCTCTTTATCCTGCCCCTGCCTTGCTTTGTCCTCCTTAATCTTGGGTTCCTACACTCGTCGCTATCAATGTTCTACTGTCTCCATAGTTGCTTTAAAGAATACTTTTAAGAATAAACTAAAAAGCAATGCTGGAAGTTGGAAGTCTTTTTTTTTATAATTTACACTGATCTTGCATCACTCACCTCTCTGCAACAAGCTGATTGTCCCACTGCTAGTGATCTGCTTGCAAACATGAGTTGATGACAATAACCCGGGATTTTATCCACGCATGTTAACAACTCTTTTTAATGGGAGTTTCTTCTGCCTGCCCAACAAAATAGAAATACTCATTTAATTGGATTGATAACTTAAAATTGAAAAAGGGACTAGAAACAAAACAAAACTTTTGATTGACTGTCACCTTTGAGGTATATTTTCATGCAACTCTAAAAAGTGCTTTGCCTGCATCTGCAAAATTCTGCAACATAGTATTTAAATGTTATCAAGGCGTCTGTGCTAAAGGCAAGTTAAATATAAATTTTCACGAGCAATTTTTATTGATGAAATATGATCTCTTATGATAGTTTTAATACTTGCATGTATGTTAGAGATTAAAATATATGTTTCCTAATATGTTCCTGTCATTTGTTGAGAACTATTTT